GGAGAGGGGCAGAGAGGGAGAGGGAGAGAGAATCTGAAGCAGACTCCGTACTGAGTGCAGAGCCTGACATGGGACTTGATCCCACAACTGTGGGACCATGACCTGAGCCGAAACTATGAATCAGATGCTTAAACAACTGAGCCATCCAGGCGCCCCAAAACCGAATAAAACTTAGCGCTCAGCCACCCCAGCCATATTTGAAGTGCTCCATAGCCACATAGAACCACATAGGCTACCATATTGGATATAACAGACATAGAACTTCCCATCACACCGAAAGTTCTACGGGGCAGTGGTGCTCTTGGGAGAAATAATTTATTACATTTTCCAGTCCCCATCTCAACTCCACCACTGTCCCAACTTTGTTCTTCGTTCGCCAGAGTTTCTCCTGTCTCTCTCTGCCAGAAGGTAGGAAAGCAGCTGTTTACTCTTGGCTAACGGTGATAGAAAGGTCAACTCCTAGATACCACAGAGGGAATTAGTCTTCATTAGCATGCACCTTCCGTGTTAGATCACTCACCAGGGAAAGGTACGTACATTCGAATGCCTGGAATCACTAGGTGCCTTAATCGTACCCACTTTGGTGTGGTTACAAATCACTTAATCCATTTCTCCTGAGCTTTCTAAATGGATAATTGAGTTCATTTTTCTGCAGTATTGGCTTGAGTTCTGAGTTGAGGTCTAGGTGCCTTGCACCCTCCCTGCCCTGCTCCTGTTCCACTCCCAAACTGGAATGATTGTATATCCTGGCTCTGCTCTGAGTTTCGGAAGAGTGAGGTCCGTGTGTTACTCATCTTTGTGTCTCCCACGCCTCGCCAGAGTTTGGCATGTGAAAAACACTTAGTGAATGTTTGTGGAAGAAATTAATTAATCCATTACGTAATCAATCAAGATGTCTTCAGTTTTCCCAGTAGGACTTTCACTAATTATTCCTACAGTGCGTTCATTCTGCAGCACAGTGATTCTGAAGTTTGGCTGCACATTGGAATCACCTGGGGATCTCTTAGAACCTACTGATGCCTGGACCCCACCCCAAACCCAGAGAGTCCAAATCTCTGATAGTGGGGCTTAGGCATCAGTTTGGCAAAGCTCCCACCCAAGCATTACACTGTGCAGCCCGGGGTGAGATCACCACGGGACTCTGATCTGGCAGCCATGATACATTTTCATGCTCTGTGATGCGTTCACCCACCACCCACCTCATCCACTGTCATGTTCGCTGTAAGATGAACAGGAGTCTGGCCTTAGTAGTTATTTTGTTCAATTATGGGACTACAGTGTCCCCACTCTGCTCCAAACAGAGACTCTGGGAAGATGGACTCCCTGTGGAAGCTTTCTTTCAATGTCTTCATGAGATTCAGGCTAGAACGGTCTTAAAACAACACCAGAGAATCTCTTCTGTTAAACCCTTGCTGGAAATGTACCTGATAAGTAAATTTGAGGTCATACTGAGTCTTGAGAAGCAGAATCCAAAGGTGCATGCATCCCATCATAATACATGTGAGAAACATATCTATAAGGGGAAAAAGAAGACTTGAAAATGAATGAACAAAAACTCTTAGTAGTAATGGTGGGTAAAGCAAGCTGGGGATTGATGGGGGGTTGGGTGGGGTGCGGTGGTGGCTAGGGAATAGTTTCCACGTCCTGACCACGAGACTCAACAGGGAAGAAGTTCCCTGATGGCAGGGTCTCCCCACCGGCTGGATCAAATGCACAGGGTGTCCCTGAAGCTTGCTCCCGACGGGAGGATGGGGATCCAAAGAATGACTGAGCCACGATTAAAAGAAGGTCACCACCAGCACCGGGAACAAGAGGTGTGGCCTGGAGGGTGATTGGGCAAGACTGTGGCCAGAAGGGAGACATGAGGAATAAGACAGGGTCAAGGACAGACTGAGGGGTTTCAGGGCTAAAGGCCAGGAAGTACGGGGCAACTTTTTACATGGGTTCTGGTCTATCCTCTCAAGCAGGGGTAGTCTCTAAAGAGGGGCCTCCCAGAGGATTGTTTTTTTTCTTTCTCTTGCTTTTTCCAAGTATCATCTAATAGTAATTTTCTAACATTAAAAAATGTGTGCCTTTGCATTCCAAAAGTATACCAGATGAGACAGGATGAGAAGATACTGGGAACCGCTGCTATTGATTGAGCACCTACTATGTGCCAGGCACCAAACAAGACCTCACACACACACAGCTCAGTTAATCCTCTCAATAAACCTGAGCCAGCGTTAGCTTTATCACCTGCACTTTAAAAGTGAGGAAACAGGCTGACTAGCCTGTTGTCCAGGATCCCTCAGACCGTATGTGGCACAGTCAGGGTTCAGTCCCCGTCTGTGTGACTCTAGAGAGGTGCCTTTGTTCACACACCCAGACCACACTTCGTCCGAGTGTACAGAAATGGCCTCCTCCCACCGCAACTCCGCTCCTCACCAAAGGCCACCCCCTCTGTCACCAGAGAAGTGACAGACTCACACCAATGCTGGTTATCCTCACACATTTTCATTATGTGGTGGGGGTTTTATGAGACTCTACCACAGGCTGTTTTTCAAATTTATTTAATTCATCCATCATGCTCTGAAGCCATTTGCTTTTTATATTGGACAGATGTAATGAGATTTTGGACACTAAAAAATGTTTTTATTAAAAGTTATGACCCAGAGCTAGTTGGTAGGGGCTGTGCCATAAATCCCCAGAAGTGTGGGAATTTATAAAGGATAGTAGCAACATAACCCTAACCTTTCAGGCCACACCATAGATTACAGGATCACTTAGGCTAATATGGCCTCCCCCCACCGTCCCCACCACTGGCCAAATAGAATCATCATAATATAATAATTTATGCGGTTAGCTGATGTGGTTACTCTTCCTTTCCTCTGTGCCCCGGTTGACTCCCGGTGAGCAGGACCTGGTGGAAGCAGGCAGTTGAGAACAGACTTGGTTGGGGGAGGCCCAAAGGCCCTGCTGTGGTGGGCATGAGTGCATTGGTTCTGCCGCTCTGCTCTGCAGCTCTGTGACTAGGGCTGACTGTCCTCACACAGTCACCTTTCCTCCAGAGGGGGGCGGAAGTGATGACAGGGGATGGTTTCTCCAGTCCTTCATCGCCAACAGGAAGCTCTCCTCAAAAGCAGGGAATGATTGCCACCATTTCTGTTCACACGTAGTAATTCCATTTTAATGTCAATATCGTCAGGTTCATATTAATGTTGCGCTGCTTGGAAGTCATCCAAAAAATAATCAGCTGGGGCATATTGACCGAAACATGGTGACTAAAAAACATATATAATAGGTATTATGTGCATTACTGATAATATATATTATTAGTGTGGCTTTGATAGTTAACATTTGTTAAGCAGGGTGTCAGACGGTGAGCACAATACACCAGAAGACTGAAAGGGAATCACAGTAGGGAAGTTTCTTACACATCCTAGAGGAGTACAGAGCACACCTCAAGAGGTCATCTGGGAAAGTCAAGGAACGTGGGGAAAGTCCAAGTGGAGAAAGTATGGCAGGACCTGAGCCGTGTGCCTTTATTAGGGCCAACAAGTGAGGTGCTTCAGGGTCCCCAGACTAAGGCCGGATTGGTTAAATCACACGAAAAAGAGCAGGGTTTTGGTAAGCTCCACAGGGGTCTTATCTAAGGGGCACATAGGGGAAGGAGGGGGGGACTGCTGATCACAAGGCCTTTGGGGAAGTCATATTAGGTGTTTATAATTACTTGCGACTCTGCAGGTGGTTTATCTGGGGCCTACTAGTGGGTGGGGCTGGTGTCTATTCAGGGCCCCTGAAGTTAGCGCAGACACATCAATGGATGCCGATCCAGCAATACAGAGTCATTTGGCGAAACCCTCAACAATTACGAACAGTAAAATACAAAACTACAAAATTAGATTCAGTCAACTGCCAGCTACTTTTAAAATACGCATATAGGGGTGCTGGGTGGCTCTGTGGGTTAAAGCTTCTGCCTTCAGCTCAGGTCATGATCTCGGGGTCCTGGGATCGAGTCCTGCATCACCTTCATCTCTGCTCAGCGGGGAACCTGCTTCTCCCTCGTCTCTGCCTGCCTCTCTGCCTACTTGTGATCTCTGTCAAATAAATAAATAAAATCTTCTTTAAAAAAATACAACATACATACACACACATATGTATATATATACATATATACATACATGTATATATGTATATATTTGTATATATTTGTCAGGCATGGCGAGAGAGGGAACACAAGCAGGAGGAGTGGGAGAGGGAGAAATAGGCTTCCTGCTGAGCAGGGAGCCCAGTGCGGGGCTAGGTCCCAGGACCCTGGGGCCGTGACCCGAGCCGAAGGCAGCCGCTTAATGAGTGAGCCCCCCAGGCATCCCTCTTTCATATATTTTTGAGCACTGCTAGGTGCCAGATCCTCTGCAAGTGGCCAGGATTTGGGAATAAAGACAGCATAGCCCTGCTTCCAGAAGCACAACGGAGCTGGCACAGGTGACGTGCTAGTACTCTGATGATTTCCAGCTCAGAGGATCAAGGGGAACTTCATGGAAGAGGTGGCCATGCACCCGGGTTTGAGAGATTTGGTGCTTCACATTTGCAGAGATGAGAAGAGCGTTTGCAGGAGGGGGACAGCATGCTAAGTGCCCTCACAAAGCAGCTGCTCACAGACTGCTCCAAAGAGGGAAGAGTTTGGCCAAAACACACGATACTATTTTTCTGCTTTTAAAGCAAAAGTCTTGAGTGTCCATAAACACCATGCTCTTATCTGTTGCCACCATCGAGGCGGGCTGGGTAATGTCTGGAATTGCGGGAAGATAGACTTGAAACCTACAAACTTACCACTATGGATTTCCTCCGATCAGGCCCGTGTTTTATCATCTGCTTCTGCTGGGAACACGTGGGCCACAGCTCCTGCCCAGGGAGACCATGGGAGTGGAAAGCATAGATTCCATCATCATTAAACCCATAAATCCATGCCATTGTGTGTCCTACTCTTCATCCTCATTCATCATCCCTTACACTTTCAGAACGGTCACCTGTTTGAGGATTTTGAAGAACGGTTTGCTGCCGCCACCCCGGTAAGAACGAGAGGGCCCTTTCTGGTTAACTCTTCCTGGTCATTATCCCATTGTTCATTTCACGCTCATGAGTCATGCCTTGTGGTTACAGAACAGAAACCTGCCGATGGACTTTGAGGAGATTTTGGAGGCAATGAAGGTAAGGCCTCCAGGCTCTTGGTGAATGAGGATCGCTATGGTCATTCTCATGCATTCCATGTTCTCCGCATCCAGCCTGCACGAATGGCAGGTGCCAGCTCTCTTCTCGTGGGCATCTAGTCTAATGTTCATGGGCGGATTATTGGTGAGCCCCGTGGTGAGGTCAGAGAGGATGTGTGTGTGAGTACACATGTGTTTGTGTTGCGATTGTATATTGGAGAGGAACTGACCTCGTGACATTCAACAAATATTTTTTCAAGTTCCCAACATGTCCCAGGCATTCTGATAGCTGCTAGACGTTCGGTAGAGCAGGAGGACACAGGCACTGTCCTCAAGGGGCTTATAGTGTCCACATGCAGCAGTGCACAGCATGGAAAAGATGAGGTAGGTTAGTCTACCGTAGTGTAATATGATAGTACCCCGGGGTTTCGGGCACATAAGCAGAAGGTGCTGGGTGCTCATAAGTGAAGAAAAACCAAGCAAGGTGGTCATGTGGTTGGTATACCCCGGACCAGATGTACTGGTTGGCAGCCAGTGTTTATTCAGATCGGTCGATACACAGACCAGTGAATAGTATCACCTCCGACGGGAGGGTGTTGGGTCTAGGACAGGGTCCTCGACCTTAGCTGCAAATCAGCATCACCAGAAGAGCTTTTAAAGTCGCAGGTACTAGGCTATACTTTTGAACCGACTCATTCAGAGTCTCTAGGAGTGGAAAGCAAACATCAGTCTTTTCCCATAGGTACATCCAAGGTTGAGAACTGCTGATCTGAGTATCCTATAAGCTGTTCTGGACAGTGCCATGGGGTGCAAACTGAGTTAGGGAACACTTAGAGAAAGAAAGAAAAAAAAAAGTCCTCTAATTTCTGTCCTGAAGGATGGGTAGGAAAGGCAACTGGGGAAGGAATAAATGTTCTCGGTAGGAGGAGGAACATGTGCAAAGGCCCTGAAATGGCCCCTCTTGTTGTAACACTGTCTGTCTTCTCCATTACGCTGCCTTGATCCTGTTGACGAGTCTGACTTTCCATCAAGCAGCCAGCCCATGAGAGTAGGAACAGGAGCAGGCTCTTGTCCCCTGTTCTTGGTACAACAGCTGATGCATGCTAGGGTTCCCATACTTTACCTACACGAAGGAGCTCCTGATGCCAAAACGTAAGGAGTGGGCCTGTGACAGGCCCAAGGACATCTCTGTCTTCATCTGTGGCACTTTTAGGATTTCTCTGCCGGAGGGGGCCTCAGAGTCCACCTGCAGCCATTTAGTTGAAAGAAGGACCAGGGTACTAATCTCAAAACAGCAGTGGCACATATTATTCGAAAACTATCACTTGTTCATGTCAAAAAGTGGCTGTGAAGGGGCTGGCCCAAGGGAGAGATTGAGGGCTTTCTTCCTCAACAGCCAAGCTATCCTTCTCCCCTTCACTGGATGGGGCAGCTTCCAGTATCCCTCTGCTTACCCTGGGAGATGCCCAGGGCCTAAAGCAGGCAGAATCTGCCATCAGCAGCCTCATCACTACCTGCAGACATCTGAAGAGCTGGTAATGGAAAGGCCAATATGTACCTTGAACCTACCTTCCAGCTGAGTTCTTCAGATGGATGTCCATCACGGCAGACCCTTTAGGAAACCTAGCTTCTGGTTAGAGAATATGGTGGCCACACACCCACCATCTAGGAAGGCTAACTAGGGCTTGTGAAGGGATAGATAAATGAGGTGTTGTTTGGCCTTTGGGTCAAGCCCAGCTTCTTCTGGCCCACCAGCCATCGGAAAGTCGTGTCACCTCTTGGTCTCTGCTCACCATGCGAAGGAAATCTCGAAAGACAGCTATGCCACCAGTGAGCTCAATGAGCATCAGACATGATGATAATGTATTGGAAAATGTATTACAAACTATAAAAATGTTTTACAAATGTGAATGGTTACTTTTAATTCTCTTGAGGCCATTAAAGTGATTAATTACAACAGTATTATCAGATGGAACATAGTTCGTTGGGTTACAAATGAAAGCACTAGGGCTAACATGGTGGGGGGAGTGGTGTGAAAATAGATATTATTCCAGATTCTCAAACATAAATGCTTATTAGAATTATTTTTAATTTTATGGCCTAAGAATCCCCCTTTTCTATAAAATTTAATTAACTCTAGTTTCTATATAAACAGCAAATCCAATGGAATGAAATAACAATCTATGTTTTCTGCCTCTGCATGTTTTTCTCGTTTAATCCTTGACTGAAAATCATCTGGCAAGAGGAAAGTCTATATCTCAAAAATGAAGGTTATTTTAAAAGTTGTGCTTAAGGAGAAAATTAGCCAATAAATTATATTTATGATGTTAGTAAAAGTGTGACACAATTTCAATACATTTGAAATGTAAATTGTGTGACTTAATTATTAACTTCATCTTATTATTTTCCTACCTCTGAAAATAGTTGTAGGCCATTTTAAAAGCATTGAGTCCCAATTGCAAGGAAGCCTAGAAGCTTCACGCTAATTGATTAAATAGAAGTATTCCTTAATAATAATCAGGAAGAGAGAGCATAAGGATTGCCATCGTTTCACCAAATAACATAAAATGTTGTAAACATGGTCAAGACTCTTTCCCTAAGACAAGAGAGTATCTAGAGTCTAGCCAAGTCTGGTCCCACTGGGACCTCACTTACCCTGTCCACTTTGCTGGCCTCCTCCTGCTCCCTCCCACCTTCATACTTGTTACAAATTGCTCTTCTGTGCTCCTGCTCAACTCTTCAAGCCTCTCTCCTTTCTGCTATTTCCTGGCTTGCACCAGACTGGATTGTCCTTCCTCTTCTTGTTGGCCCGGCTAACTCCTCTTCATCTTCAGAATTCAGATCAGGTCTGTTCTCCTTCAGCAAACTCTCCTTAAGGGGCGCCTGGGTGGCTTAGTGGGTTAAGCCTCTGCCTTTCGCTTGGGTCATGATCCCAGGGTCCTGGAATCGAGCCCCACATTGGGCTCCCTGCTCACCGGGGAGCCTGCTTCTCCCTCTCCCTCTGCTCCTGCTCTCTCTCTCTCCCCTACTCTCTCTTTCTCTCTAATAAATGAGTAACACCTTTAAAAAATAAATAAATAAAACCCTCCTTAAGTTTCTTTGCCAAAAGCTGGCAGACTCCTTTCCCTGTCCTCCCACAGAGACCTCTGTCGCCATCCCCGCCACGTTGCCTTGAAACTGCCAACTTCTGTGGATCATCCCACCAGCCTACAAGCTCCCGGCAGGCTGGGGCTTGGCCTGTCTCAGTATTCTGTTCACCTGGAACACCTCCCAGGTGTTCTGTGTGTATGGAAAAAGCATTGTGTAGTTGGGGAGGAAATTAATACGTGTGTAGGGCCCTCCTGTGTGCCCAGCACCGCGTTACTCAGTCTGAAAGCTGAGGGGGAAGAATTTAAAGTTCATTAACCAAGCTAAACTTCTTTCAGCAAAAAGAGCCTTTTGTGCCTTTTTAACCAGGCGTAGACAAACTTCAAAAGAAGTACTGTTATGAATATTGTCAATAAATCCGAAGGCGGTATTATCTTCTTTACTGTCTAGGTGAGGGAACTGTAGTCCCAGGGAGTTGCAGAGGTTGGGGTTGAATCTATCAAGAGGTGTGGGACCTTCTCCAGCGCCCGTAACTCGCTCACTCATCAGAAGGAGAGCATAATCCTTTTTTGGCACTAAGTGTAGCGATCTAGCCATGCCTGGTTACTGTAGAATTCAGGGGCAGGGGTCCCTGGAGGGCAGGCAGGCAGACTTTTTCAGTCCTTTAAATTGATTAATATTTTTAGGGTCCCCCAATCACAAGCTGTCACTTAAAATCCAGAGGTGAGACCAAAGAGTTTTCTCCCCAGTGGGCAGATTTCATACAAAGCATATGATCATATATTTAAGGCAGGCCATTTGGTTCCTAGCCATAGACTCCCTGCGGTCTCTGAAGCTCGAAGTGTATGCAGATTAATTTCTAAGTATATCTTAAAGGCTTTCTTCTGCTGCTCTGGCTGGCCTTCCTCAGACAGTCCTGTATGATGGATGGGATAGAGAGGATACTGTGTCTGCAGTGGTGAAATTCCTAGCAGTGATTAATAGTGTATATACTGGGCTGGTTTTGATGCCTTTCTTGGTATCAAATGATATGTTTTCTTTTCCTCCAATGACATTTTTTATCCTGAAGACTGACTCTTTCAGAGACTGTCATTTGACTACATTGCTCCATAGGTGGAACATTCCAGTCCTGGCCTGGGTGACTTTGAGGTCACTTCTGTGAGACTCAGTTGGTTCATCTGTAAAAATGGGGATGATGATCCTTTTCTCACAGGTTCATGGTCTTGGGAGCATTTGCTGTGAGAAGTGGCTACAAAGTGTCACGTCTCACTGTATCTGGCACGTGGAAGGCACTTTGTACATGTGTGTGCATGCAGAGAAGGAAAGCAGTGAGGGAATCGCCCTCTTGGCTTTATCTCCTGGAGAAGAGAGAGTACACTGCCCTTGATGGCGAGTCAGCACGAAGCAGGGTGATGGGTTATGGGTGGTGGATAAGCCCAGATTTCCTTAACTAAGCCCAGATATGCTGCCAGACACACCGAAGCAAGAACTGATTCTGGCTGCCTCCCAGGTGTTGTCTTTAGTATCAGGAGGTAATGGCAATGACCAGCTGGGCTTATTTTGTATATAGTCATGATGACAAAAGAACAAGGATCCTCATGTCATACGGTTTTAAAGCAGTACCCAGCAGCCTCGACTTCTCTTGTGGTGACATCACTCTCTTTTTGTCTTTTCAGGCTGTGACCCAATTAGAACTTTTTGGGGACATGTCCACCCCTCCTGATATAACCTCTCCCCCCGTAAGTATGCACTGCAGCTCAGCCCTCCGTCCTGCCCCTTTCCTTCTCCAGCAGCATGGTGGCAAGAACGTGGGCTTTGGGCCAAAGAGGGCTGCTGGTGGGTTTCACCTCGGCCTCTTGCAAGCGGCGTGATTTGGGCAAATTAACCCGCTATCCTAAACCTCGGTTTCCTCTGCTGCTTTTTAAAGGAATTATGATACCTGCTTCTGTTTCGAGAAGTAAGTGAAACCATGTATCAGCAGTTAGAGGACCCCACTGGGTACTTGCTTTTCTGCTGGGCAGGGCAGAAAGACCTAAACGGGGTGAGGTCCTTGCTTGCAAGGACCACATGGTCCGGTTGGGAATATGGGCAAGAAATTCAACAAGACCACAGGCGTGGTGGGCCATTTGTCGGTCCCCACCCAGAGCCCACCCAGCCAGGTGTTCGTCCCAGGAAAGGAAGCATCTTCTCCCCCAGTATCTTCTGCCTTGTCCTGCCTCCTGCCTTCCTTCCGTCCTCTCTCCCTCTTCGTTTTATCTCTTCCTTCCTCCCCTGCCTCCTGGCCACCCAGCTGAGCTGAGCTTCTCCTGAAGCTTTGGATTCCCAGGTGGAGTTGCAGCTGGGGTATCTATCCCATTGCTTGTCATTGTAAGTCACTGCTTGCAGAGGGACAGAGATTGCGGGGAACGCTAGCTGAAAAATGAAAAGAAGAAAAAAGAATGAAACCCGAAGCAAAATTGAATCCCAGTGCTTTGAGAACTGGTTGCATTCAAAGGCCACAGAAAAGAACAGAATGGAGATGGTCCCTCCAGGTCCTCCCCTGCCCATTCCCCGGAGTTGGGGGACGCATAGAGAGCAGGGTGCTGCACTTGTACCTGCAGAAGGTGCTGGGAAGGGGGCGCGCCTCTGGGCTTTGCGAGGTCCTGCAGACCTAGGGATCCTGCTCGGGTTCATTGGCGAGATGCGCCTCCCAGAGGAAAGGCTGTAACCTCAACCCTGGGAACAGATGGCACGAGACTTTACTGCCCACAGCTGCCACCAGGGGCTCTAGACACAGCTGCCCTGCTCCTGACACCTGATGTCCTGAGCAGATCTGACTGTGCAGAAAGCAGCTCCTGTCTCCGGAGAAGCTGGGGTGGCTCTAACCAGTCTCTTTCTCTCCTCTGTCCCGGGGGTCACAGCTGCATCTTGGACACTGAGAAACTCCAGCTGTGGAGCTCGAAAGGCCTGAAGAGACCTTCTGACCCATCCCCTTTATTTTACAGATGAGCAAACTGAGGCCCAGAGGGGGCATGGGGCTCCCCCAGGGTCACATGGGGAAAACAGATCCGCGTCGATTGTGTTTAAAAGTGCTTAATGCAGCAGCGCACAGCTGTGTTTCTGGCCCTGAACCCAAGGGCAGTCCAAATGGGTATTTAATAAACCCCAGAACAATGCCATTCCTCCCGCATGCTGCTGGTCTAAAAATGGCCTTGTCTAATTGCCATGGTTTCGGGATTAATTGCTTGCCCCAGTCTATTCCAAGGGGAAAAGAAAAATAAGGGTATTATGGCATCAAATAGACATACTTTGTAGGCAAAAGCCTGTTGTGAATGGGTGTGGGCCTTTACAAACCCAAGTACTGATGCTCAGGGTTGAGCATCAAGGATACCCCTCAGTATCCCTCCCGTCTTCCGGATTTATTTCAGTACCCCTCACCTGACCCACCAGTTCCTTCAACAGACCTCTCTCAGATCCCAGCATGGGCTGGACATGTCGCATTCCCTGATCCTCAGGCTTCGTGTTTTTTTATCATCTACTTGAAAATATTTCTTTTTCTTTGCACGTAAAGATTCAGGCAGAATTCTGGGAGGCACCAGGAGGCAAGGGTCTCTGCTCTAGTCGCTAAGCTTTGTTGGTGCACTTAGTCAGGCTCTTTATTTACCACATCTTACGTGACAAGCCCTGAGCTAGGCTCGCAGTAGGCCCTGCACGGGTGCGTGTGAGTTTCAGCTGACCACCTCTAAAGGCTGAAAACCACATATCATGGCATAATTTGATGGCTGGAATAACACCCCCAAGGGGCAGGGGCTCAAACCAAAGAGTCTTGATACTGGTCCCTGTTTGCTGAGCACCTGCTAACGTGCCTCAGCCTGGTACTAAGTGATATAAATGCATGATCTCCCTTCATGATCACAGCTGCTCTAAAGGTAGGTATCATGTCTCCTGTTCTATGGTCAGTGTCTACAGCCAGCTCGTGGGCTTCCCACCACATCTGTGGCTTGGACTGTGGCTGGCTTTGGCAGCACGCCTCCCTTACTTCGTGCACCTGCTGCCTCCCATCCTGAATGAGTGCTGAGCCAGGTCTCCCAGCAGCCTCACACTCCCTCTGCCTCTTTCTGTCTGACAGACTCCTGCAACTCCAGGTGATGCCTTTATCCCGTCTTCATCTCAGACACTCCCGGCGAGTGCAGACATGTTTAGTTCTGTACCTTTCGGCACTGCTGCTGTACCCTCAGGTAAGCTGTCCTCCACCTGCTTCCCTTCCTTCGGCCTCTGCCCGCCAGGGGAGAGAAAGGGTTGACTTGAACCAGCTGTCCAATTACGCCAGACACCTGTGGAGCCACCAGCCTCTCCTCGTGACTCTTCAGATGACATGGAGAAGCCACCACTGGGAGGTGGGGGAGTGTTTACAAATCTGTGGGACGCTGTAGGCTGGGATTTGGGCGTGTCTTTCACCTGGAAAGGTCAAGATTCTAGGGCACTCAGTTCACAGCTTCAGGGAGCCCAGGCCATACCTGACCATGCCATGTTCAACGCAAGTTCATTTCCTCCTGTCCATCTCAGCCAGAGGAAGGGAGGATGGCAAGTGGGGGACAGGAGCCCTCCACAGACCTCTGGAGATCTGATTGATAGGACGTGTCTGCCTCCTTTGGTAGAGACTCAAGAATGGGGAGGTTCTCTAAGATGCTAAGGGGAGAGAGCAGATTGCTAAGAGTGAATTAGGAAGGTAATGGGGCTCTTAGTGATTTTGAAGGTTTTTGTTCTGTTTTCCAAGCATCTGTTAAATATATATTTTTTATAAAGTATATAAATATATACTTTTACAGCATATATATATATATAAATATATACTTTTACAGCAGGGTAAATACATATAACTTATTTCCATGGCATCAAGCACTCCACATAGCCGGGCTACTCTGCTTGGGATGTGGCCACAGGTGGTATTCTGCTCTTTACATACATGAGAGCCTTAAAGACTGTTCTCTTTCTTTAGCTACATATTTGAAAATCTGTGGCTTCATCTTTCTATCTTATTCTTATATACAGCCAGGGGAGCCTGAATATTTTCTTTTTTCAATTTTATGTATGTATTTATTTGAGGGAGAGAGAGTGTGCACATGCAAGCAGGGGGAGGGGGGCAGAGGGAGAGGGAAAGAATCATCAAGCAGACTGTCTGCTGAGCGTGGTATCCGACGACGTGGGGCTCAGTCTCACAACACCCGAGATCAGGACCTGAGCTGAAATTAGGAGTCCCCAACGCTTAACCGATTGAGTCACCCAGGTGACCCAAGCCTGAATATTTTCAATTACACATCTTCTGGCATTTTTTTTTATAAAAAATTAATTTTCATTACATAATGTTAGAAGCAAATTCTTGCCACCAAATATGAACCCTGCTGTTATTTGAAGTGAAGTAAAAATTCGTACTCTGTTCTGAAGTAGTTAAAATTATTCCCCACGAGCCCAGAGATCACTAAGAATTTTCAGAAGCAACAGAGATCGGTAGCCATTGACTCTAACACTTTAGAATCTGCAAGAAACCCAGACATTTCATTGCTAAGCTTCCCAGCCAGATCTGTTTTACCCATCCCTAAAATGGGACAGTGGTGATGACTAGTCTTCCTTACCTAAGATGGATATTAAAATTTCCTTGAGAATAGTGTGATAGAATACGGTCTTTTAAAGAAAAATATCAGGGGGTCCTGGGTGGCTCGGTCATTAAACGTCTGCCTTCAGCTCAGGTCATGATCCCAGGGTCCTGGGATCAGCCCGCGTCAAAAATAAAATAAATAAAGAAGAATAACAGTTTTCTTTCAGAAATGTATCACCTTCCTGCCTTGAGACTACCCATGCTTTGCCCTAATTATCTGACCCGTGAAGATGTCCTGGGCCAGGTCATGGGAACTCGAGACCCCAAACTTAGCAGCTTGCTGATGTGTTCCTTGCATAAATATTCACTGAGTGCCCACACGAGTCGGGCCCTGTTCTAGGTCCATGAATACAACAGACATGGGTCCTGTCCTCAGAGAGCTTCCCTTCTACTGGGGAGACAGGCAACAACATAAAAATAACGAATTTCTGTAATATGTCTGCAAACGGTAAGTGGTGTGGCCAGAAGAAAATGCAGAGTGGAGTGCGGGGGCCTCAGCACAGGTGGAGGACAAGTGTAAATGGAGATTGTGGTCACGAGGGACACGTGCCAAGGTGAGCTGTGAGCAGATGAGAAGGGGTGAGGCAGGAAGCCAGGAAGGTGTCCAGGTGAAGCGTACTCTAGGCAAAGAGTCTCCATCTCCTTCTCTGTCAATGCGGGTGACACAGTCACGTGGCTCCCGGCCCTAACGTGAGTAAAAGCACCCAAGGACCTGCCCATGCCACTCACACCACCGCTCTGGGCCTTCTCCTGAGCCTGGGTCACATCAAGACTTGAAGACCTGGGTTCAGTCTTGCTAGTTGACCAGCTGTGTTGCAAACTACAGACAAAAGCCACTTCATGTCCAGATTCAGTTTCTTCAGCTGCTAAAGAAAAAAATCGGTAGATTACCAGTAGGTTACCTCCACAACCTCTGTGTTTAGAATGGAAGTGTAAAATTAATTTCAGTGAACACATTTTTGCTTCGCCAGGTGCCTGCTTCTGCATCAGTTAGGCTGAGGAACAAAAGTGGACTTCAGGGAGTGGTCAGCCAGCAGCCTTTTTTTTCCTCCTTGAACAGGCTCTAAAAATCTCTGCAGACACTAAAGCGCCATCTACCTGTTCCCAGTTGTCCAGCCAGGGGTGGAGAGCCAGGGACACGAACAGCGGTACCGATGGACCCCTGGGAGATTTTGCATCCAGTGCACTGGGTTTGAATCTGAGCTTGTCTGTGGACATTTTAAACTCCTGAGCAAATTACTTAACCTGCCAGAGCCAGAGTTTTTGAATCTTTTTTTTTTTAAGATTTTATTTATTTACTTGACAGAGATCACAAGGAGGCAGAGAGGCAGGCAGAGAGAGCCTGCTCCCTGCTGAGCAGAGAGCCCCATGCGGGGCTCGATCCCAGGACCTTGAGATCATGACCTGAGCCGAAGGCAGAGGCTTAACCCACTGAGCCACCCAGGCACCCCCAGAGTTTCTGAATCTTTATAAACGAATCGAAAATAATACTTCCTTTGCAATAATATCATGAGAATTGAATGGGAAAACAAAGTGAAGCACCTTGAAATCTGCTGGCACCCCGTAGAGGCTTCCATCAGCAAAGGCGGCTCTTGTTGTTACTGTTGTTACTATTGTTACTGTTACTGTTACTGTTACTGTTACTGTTGTTACTGTTACTATCGTCATGACTCTTGTTTTTAAAGTAGAAGAAAATGTCTTGTCTGACCTATATTTTTTTCCTTTAACCTTTCTGGAATATTTAGAAAGACACCCGTGTAATGAAGTTTAGATCTTTGGCCTCTTAACTGCGCATGGCTGAGCCGGCCTGGGGGCTTAGAGAATGTACTAGGATTAAATACAGACGCTGCCACTAGCCAACTGTGTCACGCTCTGCTGAATCTCTTCTGAGCCTCAGGGAGCTTATCTGTAAAATGGGGATGGTCATTCCACCGCATAGAGCTGGTCGGATGACTGCATGAGTTAATACACATAGTGGAACATTTAAAACAGTGCCTGGCGGTGTTTCTGTAAGTAAGCAGTCAACAGATGTTTGCTAGCTTGTCCATTAGGAGCTCTGGCTCTCCTCACTCCCCCCACTGTGTCCTGTGGTCGCTGCCTCAAGCCATCCTCTCCGCCCGCTGCAGTATCTCAGACACAGAGTAAAGAAATACCGATACCAACTACACAGAGGCTCGTTGTGAGGATCCGTGTAAGCTCCACGAGGGCAAGGAATTTTTTTCTTTAATGTTTTGTTCTTTACTGCATCTGCAGAGACTGAAACAGTGCTTCACACCCAGTAGGGCTCTTTTCAAATGAATGGATGGATGGATGGATGGGATCACGTAAATAAGCATTACCATACAAATTCTGCATTTATGTGTTGGGGGAGTCCCTTAAATGTCAGTGTTTTTCTCACATTTTAGTTTACTTTTTAAAATTCAGATAATAAGGTATCCCCAGCTGCAAGCATCTGGTTATAAACTGCAATTTCCAAGCCTCCTTCGAGATCTAACTGCGAGGCAGTAATGCAGGTGTTCCTTTTCACTTCGCAGCAAGGAGATTTATGATTGATCTGAACTCTGTCGCATAAACAGATGCTCCATGGCACCTCCTCCCTCCACTGTCGAACATTAATGAGTCAGTGTTATCAAGCTGCTAAGTGGCTTCTGTGGCAGCCACCAAGTGGCTTGTCTTGTCCAGTTCCGCCGCAGGCGGCTACCGAGGGGTCCCATCAGGCATGTCCAATGCCACATGGCTGGAGAACCTGAGCTCACAGGTCTGGGGAGGGCCCAGGCTGCAGAGGAACCCCCACCCCCAAGGAAAAAGCGAGTGAGACCTGCAAGGTCCCAAACATGATACCCAATTACCCTGTGCTGTTTTTTTTTTTTTTCTTTTGGATATTGTACTTGGGACTGAAGCAGATGGCATGAAGCCAGGGAGACATGTTAATAGCTCTCTCCAGAAAAGTGTGCACAGCCCATCTGTTGGTTCCTTGTGGGGTGAAAAAAAAAGACAGTAGGAACGAAAAACCTGCCACCAACAGTAGAATCATCAGAGATCACAGCACTTACCAATCTTGGAGTTTAATTGTTCACTTGGCCAAGTGCAGGGAAGGCATTGATTCTGCTTTGACTCATTCACCTTTACAGAGAGACTTCCTCCAGGCTCAGGCGTTTATGGAGCAGCTGAGTAGCGTCCCAGACGGCGCTAGACACAGAGGACAGGGAACGAGAAAATAAAGCATTCCTACTAGCAGGTGGTTGCTTGTCTAATAGGGAAGACGGAATAACGGGACAGTTACAACTCAGTGTGACACGTGCCATCAGAGAGATGAACACTGGGGTCTGCAGAAGCCCAGAGAAGGAGAACCAATGGAGTCCAGAGGGCAGGGAAGGCGCCCGGCAGAAGTGACGCTGAGCTGATTTTCAGGGAGCCACGTGAAGTAGGGGTGGCTTTCCAGGCAGAAGCACAAGCAGAGATGGATAGAGTGAGGGGCGGTGTGAGGGGTGTTTGTGTGTACGGCTGCTGCCCTAGGGAAAGGTGCCAGGGAAAATGGCATGGAGAGCTGGGAAGGGGCCTGATCCCTGAAGTCTCCGAAGCCGCGCTTGGGCATCTAGACGTTATACTCCCGACAGTGAAGCACTCTATTTGCATTTTGGAGCAGTCCTGCGATGGCATCGAGGGGGGCGGAGTGGAAGCAGAGTGAAAGATAGCCTGGCTGGAGGCTGAGACCTTCCATCCCGCCACCAAAACGGGCATCAGGATTGAGGTCATTGAAAGATCCGTGTCCATCCCGTCAGACCCAGTGCCCCCCTTTTAGGATAGATATTTATAAAGTTTCCTTTAAACTCCTGAAATGAAATTCATAGATATATAACTTAACCCACAGTTTTTTAGAAGTCGATACGATGCCATCGTTATGCGTCAAGGAGGAAATTTATAAAAGCTCATTTATAATAAAAAGACATCGATTTCAATAAGGAAAATACCCAGGTGCAACCGCACTAGAGGTCCTATGAAGTGGTCAGATGTGTAGACCTGTCTTCAGAGTCCCCGCAGGTGCAGACGGACCCAGGAACGCTGTGTCCGCTCGAACACCATGGGAAGTATTTCTGCCAGGAACCACAACATTCCCAAATGGTAAACAACTCTTGGCCGTGTTCCAAGCAAAAATAAAATACAGTCTGCCCTCAAGGCACACAGTTGTTACAGTCCTGAAAAACTAAGTGCACTCAAACTGTGCAAAGAAACTTTGAATTTCTAGGTAATTCAACGTCCTGCCCATACTCAAATAATCGTAGACAGAACATGGGGGAATTCTTTGTTGTGCACGTTGGTCTCACACATTATAGGATAACCCGCCTCTTAAGTGCGGGTAGTGTCTCCCTCTAGCAAGTTATCCTGACAGCCAAAATACACCCCACTAATGTCCTGATCACCGCCCCCCTCCTCCATTGAGAACCACTGGGCCCCACCAAAGCGAATCAGAAAATGAGAAAAGCAGTTACAGAGTGCTGAGTCTGTTGGTGGGCTCAAGACACTGCCTTATTATGTGGCGTGTGAGGTGAGAGGCAATGCACGCCCCTCTCCCGTCTGAAATGCCAGCCCCAATGCGTCTTCACTACTCCGTGCACTAGGGCTGCGTGGTCGCGGAAGGATACGGTCTGTTCGGGACGGCCGGCATACTGCTGACTTCTTCCGCAGGAAGCCCTGGTGCCCTGTCTCCGCTTCTCTGGAACCCGCTGTCACCTCGCAAGGAAGTGGCGGGACGTGGAATGTTGTCCCCACTCCTTAGCCATCAGTCGAGGGCCAGGGGATCTGAGGCTGAAGCCTGAGTGAGGCAGTCCTCATGAGTGAGGTTTCTCTGGGCTCTCCAGAGTCCCTGACGTCACCCACGACACGATCAGCCCCACAGCGCCTGCCTGCCTGCCTTCCCCCTGGAAGTTGCTAGGATACTCTGCACCCACTTTCCTTCCCTGGCTTCACTGCCGTACACCTGCAAACTCCTTCTGACAGCCATGAAAAGGCTGGTTTTGGGAAGTCAGATCAAGCCAGCTTCTCCCTACTCTTCTCTGCCCGGCCTGGGCATCTGTCTCCTGGGCTCAGCTGCACAGGCGTGTGGCCGAAGCGCCTTCTGAGAAGGGCGGGGGTCACTGGAAGCACCTAGGAGTTTCTCTGGGCCCGCCCACAGTTAGCTGCAACCTGAGGTGGGCGACCAGACCAGATGTACTTATGGTGCAAAGTAGGCCATCGGGGTGGGGCAGTGTCATGCGGAGGGAAGAATGCTAGCTCTGGGGACAGGTGCCCTCAGTTCAGGTCCTGATCCCCCTTCATGCTGGCTTCGTGACCCCAAGCACAGACTGTACCTCTCTGGACACCAGTTTCCTTATCTCTGGAGAGGGGATGGTCATACCTACCCTGCAAGGATTTTGTGAGGATGTGAGACATCTAATACTGAACCTAGAAGTTAGAGGCATGTAGCAAGTGGAAAAAATTGTTTTACTGTTGCTACTGTGAAAAGTGTTACTTGTGCTCTTTTAAAAAATGATTTTATTCTCACCTTAAAGGAATTAGTACCACCAACAATTAACATGGTAACGGATGTGAGTAGACCCCTTGGAGTTGCACAGTACCCAACCTAGGCCACTGTACGAGGGGCTCCTGCATAAGTGGACAGTCACCTAAAATTGGCATAGTAACAATACAGAAATAACATATGATAATACCTGGAGCTACCATTTATTGCTTGGCTGCTATGTACCAAGCAAGGTATTAAGTACCTTCTGGGCTCTCTCTGATTCAAATCCCATTAACTGCTAACATTTACTGAATGCTCATTCTGTGTCAGGTGCAAAACTCCACATTAAATACGTCATCTCCGTTTACCTTTAAACCAAGCCCCTGAGGTAGACGGTATTTTGTGCCCATTTTACAGATAAAGAGGCAGAGCTTGGGAGAGCTTGTGGAGCTCTCCCTAAATTCCAGAGATGTGAATCATCAGTCTGAGTGTTAACCTAGGCCTCAAAAACCCCAGCACTCCTAATTCTTCTTCCTTTGACACACAGCTTCAGTGTTTAAAATGACGATCTTACAACCTGGCTTTCTATCAAAGAGCCTGACTTTTAGAGAGCTCACGCCATCAGTCTGGCAAGAAGGGGAGGCAGGATTCAAACCCATGTGTGCCCAATTCCTAGTCTTCTGCCTTTTCCACTGAGACACACCAGCTCCTGAGTCTCCGTGGGGTCAGAAACCTTTAATGATTGTAGCAATATCATTATTATCTCTCAGATTTATGTCTGGCTTTCTCACTCACCACATTCCAGTTTCTGCCTACAAATCAATGCCTTCGAAAGGTTTCCCCTGACCATTGCTCTAGAAGGAATGCTCCATGAGAGCAGGGACTTTTGTCTTATTCATCCTTGTCCACGGTCTGTAGCACAGAGCCTGACATGTAATAGTGGCTCAGTATCTTTCTGCCGATCCCTTGAATCCATGAATTCTTTCCCAGGTGCCTGACTCTCATTTTTCACCCTTCCAGGTTATGTTGCAATGGGCGCCGTCCTCCCATCCTTCTGGGGCCAGCAGCCCCTCGTCCAACAGCAGATCGCCATGGGTGCTCAGCCACCAGTCGCTCAGGTGATGCCGGGGGCTCAGCCCATCGCATGGGGCCAGCCGGGTCTCTTCCCTGCCACTCAGCAGCCCTGGCCAACTGTGGCCGGGCAGTTTCCGCCAGCCGCCTTCATGCCCACACAAACTGTTATGCCTTTGCCAGCCGCCATGTTCCAAGGTCCCCTCACCCCCCTTGCAACCATCCCAACCACGGGTGACTCCACCAGGTCAAGTCCACAGACCGAGAAGCCCAGACAGAAAATGGGGAAGGAAATGTTTAAGGATTTCCAGATGGCCCAGCCTCCACCCGTGCCCTCCCGCAAACCCGACCAACCCTCCCTCACCTGTACCTCAGAGGCCTTCTCCAGTTACTTCAACAAAGTCGGGGTGGCACAGGATGCGGATGACTGTGATGACTTTGACATCTCCCAGTTGAATTTGACCCCTGTGACTTCTACCACGCCATCAACCAATTCACGTGAGTGCCCTTCTTTGGAGACATACATCCACTGAGAGTGATGCCTTGTTTCTGGAGTCCGAGAACTCATCTCAGTTCACATTCAGGAGGCCTCCTTGTTTATGTTACTACAAATAATACTAATAGCTACAAAGTATACATATCTTCTTCGTATACATTGTTTTTATTACTTTTATACTCGTAATAATGCTTATTACAGGTTTTGTTAGACCTGTTTGGCCAATAATGAAAGTGAGGTTCAAGGATGAGGAAAGCAGTAGATTTAAATACAAATCTGTTATTTTTCTACCAGTCACTCTGCTGCTTATGTTTTTGTTAATTTGCTCATCCATCTGCCCATTCTTTCATTACCCCATCTTTATGAAACACAGATTTTGGTATGGATTATTGAAATGGAAATGAATGGTGAAAATGAATTTCAAAAGTCAGGGGAACAAGGACAAAAAAATTAGAGTAGAAAACGTAGGGGAGAGACAGAGCAGCCGTAAGGTCTCACCCAACTTGTGGAGCTGAAGCCAGATTTTGGCTCAAGGCTTTGGGTAGTCAAAGAGGAAAAATGGCAGAGAAGCAGAAAGCTCTAGACCGCGAACCCTGAGAACAGATTTATCACTTCCTAGTCTTGTGCCTGTGGGCAAGTCACTGCTGTGAGCCTCAATTTCCTCATCTATCTTAGGCTAAGGGATAGTTAAAGGATTCAGTGGTACATGAAACACTGCGTACCTCACTGACTTTAAAACATTGTTTTCACCATTATAATTGCATATTGAGTGATGCTGTGCAGAATTCCTGGACCAGGATCCCAGCCTTGGCTCTTCTACTATAAAGCAGCGTCTTTGGGCAAATTAGTGACTTTTCTTAACCTCAGCTGTGTCATGGGTAAAAGGCCTGCTTTGGCTTGGACTGGCAGTGTGCCTCCTTCTAATTCAGGCATTCGGTGATTCTGTCCTAGCTCACTTCTCCATTGCAAGCATCCAGAAACCGTAACTACACAGCCGATCAGAACCCAGATACACTTGATCTCACATATGCTTGGAGAGATGTCCAATAATTCAGCTCGGGCCTTGACGCTTGATAGGAAAGAGAAAAGTCTCGTGGAACAATGAGTTTGGCATTTTCATTACTGTCACAGGTGATAGGGTTCACTGCTTGGCCAATCGCAAGAATCATCAAAAAATCTAATGTTAACACAATTAGGTAGTGTCATCTCAGCCAGGTTCGGAAGGCAGTTCTGAAAAGGAATGCCTTCTACGTGTATAAACGAGCTACTCCCACTCAGGCCATGTGATCTCCACAGTGGGGGCATCTCTATTAGCTCTAAGTCACGGGGTTTCAGTGAAGAGTAATGAATAAAAAATGAAATGCTGGGAGAATGAGAGCCACGCGTAAATAAGCAAGCATCTTTTGAAAACAAGTGTGTCTCTCTTGCAATGGGCTTGCATGCCAGCTACAAATAAAGGGGAAGTTTCAGTTCCTTGAGGACAGGAAATGGGTCCAAACCATTCACACACTTCTCATGATGCTAGCGTAGCATCTATCTAGTGCCTGGAGACGTTTGGGAGAAGTCACAGAGATCAAAATGAACAGAACAGGGACCCCTCAGCCACTGTCATGTCTCAGAGCATGGTTTTGCAACCTGGGCTTTATTGATATTTGGGGCCAGATCATTCTTTGTTGTGGGGTGTGCACTGTACTTGTAGAATGTTGAGCAAACTACCTGCCCCCTGCCCATGAGATGCCAAAAGCACACATCCTCTCTCCCTTGTCCTGAGAGTCAAAAATGACCCCAGATTTTGCCAGATGCCCCCTAGGATTTCATCTGCCCCAAATTTAGAACCACTCTTAGATTATACAGATATCCTAGAAAAAACTTCTAAAGGCTAAAACACTTGCATAAATGAACCCCTAATTATACTTCTGATTGATTTCATCTGATAGGTAGGACCAGTACAACCTCTCTCAGATTGGCAGCTCAGCCCGGGTTCTCAGCCTTCAGGAAGCAATAAGCCACTTCAAACCCAATTTGAAATCCGGTTACGTTAACACTTATTCAACAGCTGTCAAGCACTGAGGTGTTCTCATACTGCTTATCTCACTTAAACCCACTAGTATGAGTCTGTTCCATAGCCCTCTCACAAAACAAAACAGACTTCCTTTTATCCATGAGCATCACCTTCAGAATGTTTTGAGCGGAGCAAAGGCCAATGTCAAGTAGAAGTAGCGCTCACAGCTGGCTGGACAGTGTAGACACAGCTCTGTTAAATCTCAGCACACCTGTTCCATGGCTCTGTTGGCCCTGAAAAAGCCCCTTCACCTCTCAGAGATGCAGTTTCTTCATCAGGAAAGAATAGGTCCAACACCATTTTGCCATATTTGCATTAGAGAATGCAGTGAATACAAAATGCCAAGCAAATAGCATCGTTCTTCTAAATATAGATCCATCAAGGCAAAAGATACTCACCAAGTTTGATAATCACTTGCTGTCTGATAAGCAGCCAGATTTTGGAAATTCTGAGCAATGATGGCAGGGGAGGGGGCCTTATCAGTGCCATTCGAAATTTAGCTACTAAATCAAGCCTCACCACCTCCTCACTTGGGGCTGAGCCAGTGACTGGCGTTTTCAGAGCCAAATTAGAAATTATTGAACGAAGAATAGCTTCAAATGGCATATTTGTTATAACCTCTGGGCCAAATGAGAGGAGGAACATGTGGGAAGGCTAGGACAGAAGACTCATGTCCTTATGGAGTGAGGCATAAAGCTGCCAGCGGCTCCTCCCATTTTCCCACGTCACGGAGGCACTCTTCATTCAACACATGTTCAACGCATGCCTACCATGTGTAAGGATACGGGGCCTGCCTCAACCAGTCACCAACTACAGGGCCTCGAGCAATTTCACAACCTCACTTCCCTGAGCTGTGAAACTGAAATCACTCTTACCTCAAAGAGGCTTTTTGCGGGTCAGAGATACCATCCGTAAAATGTCTGATGGCAACTGAAGGTGTTCAAAACGTGCATCCCTATCCTCTGATCTGTTTATTCAAATATTTATATGAATAGATTTTCTGAGCTCGTCAGTCTGGGGCAGGGGTCCAAGATGGCATCTGTAACAAGTTCCCGGAGGTACTCGTGCTGCCCATCCAAGGGCCATTCCTAGAGAACCACCACCTGCCCCAACCGTGTGCACCCACTCCTTCCCATCAAGTGTCTGACAGGACGAGATCAATATGTACAGGGGAGATGTTCGGCATAGAAAGCAGAGTGCCGGACTTGACTTGATCATAACCAGATCCCCGAGGTCTCGGTGGGAGGTACTCAGGTGCAGCCAGACACCTAACGATGTTCCCTCTTTGTGCCTGGTCTCTGTGTAGCTCCAACCCCAGCCCCTCGACAGAGCTCTCCATCCAAATCATCTGCGTCCCATGCTAGCGATCCCACCACGGATGACATCTTTGAAGAGGGCTTTGAAAGTCCCAGCAAGAGTGAAGGGCAAGAAGCTGTAAGTGGCCGGTCTGTTCTTTCTGGGTCTGCTTTTCCTTAAAATTAAAACCTCTGTATGTGAAATGGACAGTGGCCCAGGAAACCCGCATAAGAAAGAATGCTGGCTCAGTCCCTCAGGTTCTAAATGGGGCCCTAGGGGGCGTTTTTTTTTTTTGAAGATCAAATGAGCAGCTGAAAAACGTTGTCCTTTCGTGAGTCGCTCAGCACGGCCCTGCATGGGTGGGTGTGGCGTCCTCCAACTGCTGTTGCTGCCTCCTTTTAAAATAACTGATTATATGTATGCATGAAATTATGCCCAGCTGTCTTCTGCTTTCCGTTGTTGAAAAGACCAAAAAAAAAAAAAGTGTTATCTTCTTGTGTTCTAGCCTGATGGATCACAGGCCTCATCCAACAGTGATCCATTTGGGGAGCCCAGTGGGGAGCCCAGTGGTGATAATATAAGTCCGCAGGCCGGTAGCTAGATAGCACAGGTCTGGGTAGGTATCTGTTCTTTTTATCTACTTCACCCTTAAGCTCTCTGCTTTCCCCTGGCTTGTCCCTCCATTTCCGAAGTCACCTCCCCGATGTTCGCTCCGTCTCTCCTTGCCTGAGCCCATCCCTGATGTTCGCACTATCTCTCCTTGCCTGCTGTTTGCCATCTTGTGTTTCCTCATGGATGCATGACCTTTGACATATACTGCTAGGTAGGGGTAGGGGTGAGGAGTGGGGAATGGTCATATTCTTTTATTAATGATACGTGCTGAGTGGATGGTGGTGATAGAATGAGGCACAGTCCTCATTCCTCAACATGGATTCAGTTTCAGAAAGCATCAGCCTTCCAAGATGGACACGGTCCCCCCACCCCGATTCCCTTCTCACTGGGGTGTGATCCAGATGCTTTCATCTTTTAAGCAAAGCGTCACCGCATTTGCCTACACTCCACAGATCTAAAGAGGTCACCAACCAAACATCCCAAGAAGCAAAACCAAGCAGTGCTTGAAATTAGATGGCTAGAGATGTACGATCACGGTAGCCCAGGCACCCCCCTCACCCTTCCTAACGTAAAAGGGAAATTCAGAGCTCAAAGACGTGTAGCATTTGCTTGAGGCTCTGCTGTTTGCACCTGTGCTGCAGCGTATGGCTCGCCCCCGAACCACTTCAGATCCCATCACCAGCTACTTTGAAAGAAGTGTACTCACATACACTAGAAGTGGCTTTTGGCACTCGAATTTCAATACCTCTGATTTGATCAAAAGAAAGAGGAGCTGATGAAGCAAACCTTCTCGGGAGACAGAAGTACACCTCGTTCCCCAGGCATGATTCCGGAGGTCACTCCTTGACAAATGTGTTCAATTTTCAGATACTTTCCTTGTTTTCCATAAATGTGTAGGACTGCAAGGCTCTACCCACAGAGCTCCCCTTCTTTAGTCCTGAACAGCGTGGTCAGAGCCATTAAAATGGTAAATAGTTTTCACGATTCACAAATGGATTCTGAGTCTGCCTCGAAATCATTCTCAGTTCACGTGGAAGTTATTTTGACAGTTCCTGAAAGCTAATACAGTGTTTGGAAAGTGTATTTTGCTAATAGATTTTATGATTAAAGAACTTAACATACTGTATATTTTGCCACGTTTTCTATCAGTACAACAGCATATAATAACACATCATGCCATGCAAAGCCACATACAACCCCTCTAAAAATTCTGTCTTGCAAAGCTATTTGGGAAGCTGGTGAATTAAAGACAAAGTCAATGTTCCCGAAAAGAGAAGAGCTGGGGATTATGGGTGGACACCTTAGAAAGATTCCCCAAGAGGTTTTCTACCCCTTGTGTATGTTTTATTTCACGTGCTCAACCTTGTCTTGAAAAATCTGATGAATGAACTAGAGGCGACAAGAGCCATTCATCAGTATAACGGCTAACATCATCCTAAAATTGAAGCTCTTCTAGAAAACAAAGAGGACTTACACCATTTGCAGATCAATGTATCAGTTGTCTTCATGAGCCTGTTCAGCTGGAGACAAACAAGCCGAACTCTTTCTTGGGGCCTCAGGCTGTCCCGTGGCGGAGTTGTAAATGGACGGACCATGGGACAGTAGAAGAGCTCAGAATTTGGAACTTGGATCCAAATTCCAATTTGCCCAGGAAATCTTGGATTTCCTGGAACTTGGATCCAAACTCCAATTTTCCTAGGAAATCTTGGGCAAGAACCATAATTTCTTTTGAGTCTTGGTTTCTTCACCTGCTAGAAGAGGCTTATATCATCTGCTAGGTTAGCAGAGATAGTGATTCAGTCTCTAAGAGGGAGACACACACTCAGCCCTCAGCTCAAAACTCAGCTTAAAAATCTGGGCGCTGGAGGGAAACTGAGTTTAGAATTGTAAACCCTAATGAGATTTCATAGTAATTGTCTATCTTATTTTTGAAAATAAGGATAAAAACAGTGTCCTCCTCAGAGGATTATTGTTTGGACAAAATGAGGTGAGCACAACATCTGGCACATAGAAAGCCCCCAACAGATCGTAGCTGTCATCAGCCCTAGCATCACCGTCATCATCCTACATGCTCAATACATGTTCCCCAGTACCTTAGATTTTATATATTTTGCCTTGATATGGAATGCATTATACCATAAGGACCCAGGCCATTGGCTGGGAGGTTTTGCTCTGTATTTCCTATCTTCAGATAATTAATTTGCAATATGCCTGCAGATAGAGATGGCATCTCCATGTAGAGATGCCAGAAGGCTGCTGGATTTTATCTGGAGGTCATTTTCAATATGCCTTAAAACAGTTTCAGAGGGAAAAAAAAAGTAGGAAAAGAAAATTTTGATAACTAAGCTCTCTAATCAGAATGATGCCCATGAGGGTCTCACAGACCACCTCTCCGTTACAAAAAATGACCAGTCTCCAGTTGACTTATAAGTCACAGTCAATAGCTCCCACCCCAAAAGGGCTGGACTGTAATCTACAATGAAACAATTTTCTCCCTTTGAACACTTAACTTAGCAATATCACGATTTCCTCTCAAGAATCCCATGCCAACAGGCTGATGCCAGCCTCGCAGACATATCCCCAAAGACCCCCCCCCACCCATCCACCCCAAGGGAATTCCAAATGAGCCTCCCTGGGCCCTTCTATCCCTAGCAACCCAAGCCACATTTGACCCTCCCGCCTCTGTCACACTCATCCACCCAACCAGGAATCTCCTGACTGCAATCCCTTAGTACCTTTCCAGACATTTGAAGAAGGGATACCATGCAGGGAAAGCCACATCCATGGCTCTCTTTTCCCCTTTGTCTTCATACGGCTGGAAAGCAGGAGTCTTGTTCTTATCACCCTTGCATTTTATCCCAGCTGCTTTTTATTAGAAATACCCACACAATGCTTAGTAGGTAGGGGGGGACATCTATTGATAAGTGAAAGCCATCTCACACCACAGCAAGAGGGAACAAACAGACTCCGTCTTCACTGGTGGAAGCTTCAGGACCAATCTCACACAGCATTTCTATTTTTGCAATAAAGGGAAATATCTTCAATTATTTTGTTTTCTCCCCCCTACCCTCCCGTCTGGGAGAATCATGTGTCTTTGAAAGACTGGGTCAGCAGGGGCAGGAAAAAAGAACCAAAATAATATTGTAATGGCTGGTGTGGGAATGGCAGGTAATTTATACTCCACTGACGTGTTGCTGGAGCAATTTTAAGGGCGAAATGTTAGCTTTTTGAGGAGATGAAAGAAAAATGAAAACATTTATTTGGTTAAATGGCTAAGTAAATAAACTGCCTATCAGACTTGCCCAGCTGTCAAGTCAAAGTAGCATCTGTAACAATGGGGAATTGTTTGGTCTGTCTCCCTTAGTAACAATGGATATTGCCATAAATAATATGTCGCTGTCATGTTTTTAATACCGATCTTCGTAGCGGGAACCCAAGACATGGGAAATATTACCTGATGGATTTCTGGTGTTCGAGGGAAAAGAAGGCTGAACTTCAGATGCCTTAGGAGGAAGAATCTACAAAAACAAAAACAAAATCTTTTTTAAAAAGAGGAAAAAAATGCGCAGAGTCGGGGACTTAGGTCTGGATTATGGTTTTAAAGTAGGTAACCTTAGGCAAGCATGTAACCCCTTTATACCCTGGTCCCTCACATGGATGCATGTGGATAATTAATAATAACCGCTCCTTCCCCAGGCTGTTCCAGAATCAGAAATCATGAATATGAAAGTGCTTTATAAGCTTTGAAAGCAGAATACATGTATTTGGAATTATTGTTGCTATTTCAGTTTTAAATAGAATGAAGGAACAGAGCCTTAAATCAGAGAACCGCAAATAAAACAAACAAACCAACCAAAAAAAAAAAAAAAAAAAAACAGAAAATAATCTGTCCATCTCTTATACATAGTGCTCAGAGCCAAGTCCAAACCAAAGTGTTGGGATTCGTGCAGTCAGGGGATAGGAAGGGTCCAGCTGAGGGCCTGGTCAGCCAGGACGGTGAGGTGGGCTTGGTGCCCAGAAATATTTAAAAGATGAAATCAAGAGAAGGTTAAGTCTGAAGGGAAATGGGAAGTGAGGATGAGGACATAACCTAGGATGAGCCCCACCTTCCTGATCTGGGAATCTAGCGGATGCCGAGTCACTGTGTTAAACAGCACAGGACGGCATGCTTGACCAGAGAGAGGGCAGTTTACTTCCGAACTCCAGCTGCACTTGAGATGCCCATGAGATACCCAAGTAGTGATGCAGAAGGCTGCTGGATTTTATCTGGAGGTCAAAGGAGGAAACCAGACTGGGCACAGCAAGCTTTCAATATGGTTTTAAGCCACTAGTGGAGTGGGCACAAGCAGAATATGCTGATCATTTCTCCCAGAGGTCAGCAGACTCTTTGTAACTAATCCATGCCTTGTGGGCCAGGTCTCCGTTGCAATGTATCTACTCCACCGTGAGAGAAAGAAAGCAGGAAAAGATAGTGCGTGAAGGAATGGATGTGGCTCAGTTCCAGTAATACTTAAAATACTTTAATTAATTATTAAAAACAGAGGGCCACCAAAATTAGCTGACCTCTGATTTAGATCCCACTTGCTGTTTCTAGAATCACTCTGCAGAAGACAATCACCATGCCTTTCGTTTACTACCACTAACAAAGTAGATCTTAAAATTCCTAGCATGTTTATAACACTTTTGATAAACATCACCTAATTCAATCCTCCAGGGAACCCACTTAAGTATTTTTATCATTCCCATTTCACAGATAGGACAGGTGAGGTGGAGAGGTTAATGGCTTGCTGAAATCATAAGATTCACTCATAATGGGGCTAGGATTTGAATCTACGCCCAGATTAAATAACTCAAGAGCTCTCATCCAGAGCAGAATACGGGGGTTTTAGCAGTTTCGCTTCGACTTAACAGCTCTGTGACTTGAGGCAGATGGCTTCATTTCCAACCTTTGGTCTTCTCTTCTGTAAAGCAATTCCCATATGCCCTCCTGGCTGATATTCTCGG